TATCCTCTAGTACATTGTATAATCTCCTTGGTATCATAACAAAACTGACAGCAGGGGATGCTTCAAATATCTTCCGGTAAATGTTAAAGGCTCAAAATACCTAGTAAATGTTTAATTGCAGTTATTGTAGGTGTTACAGGAATAGATTAGAACAGTATTTCTTAAAATGTACATTCTTCCTATTCAGTATCCTCTAGTATAATGTCCGTGGTTACTGTATCCAAACAAAAACTGACAGCAGTGGGATCCCTACAGATTTCCTCCAGTAAAAGTATAAAACTCAAAATACCTGGTGCACATTTGATAGGTGACTCAGGAATAGATTAGAATAGTGTTTCTGATAACATGCACATTCTTCCTATTCAGTTAGTACATGTATCTGCAAATACCTTACAAAAACTCTGACAGCAGTGGGATGCTTCAAATATAGGCGAGCACTGTACCTACTTAGCCTTAATGCACTGGTAGAAATTAGTGCTTGTAATGTTTAAGAGCCTAATATATTTCCAACTATAACCAAAAGCTTCATGGTTGATCAATCCAATGTAGCAAATTGGTTTAACAGTTTTCTTTAAAATATCACCAAAAAATAAAAACAGCTGAATGCCTGCGGTATTCATCAATGTTATTGACTTTGGCATACATGTATAACTGGTCCCGATGGCACTAAGAGAATTTGAATGTCCCAACTGTTGTGTCTGTATCTGTATCATCATCATATCTGTATCCGTATCATCATATCTGTATCCGTATCATCATATCTGTATCATCATCATCATCATGATGTTGTATCTGTAAACTGTATAACCAGTATAACCGCCCTTCGGCATAACACACCAGCCTCGCAGGCACGGGGCATAGCGGCAGCTGGCTACATTACACCAAACGACTTGTTACACCTAACCTTTGAACATCTAACTCTAAACATTGTTTAAAGCTATATCTAATGATAATGTCCCTATTGTACTTGGTGACAGGCTGACAGCGAGTTCCACTCTGCTATAGTTATAGGAAAGAATGAATTTTTGAACACCTCAACCCTTGGTTGATAACTCTCACTTGAAGGCATCGTGGCTATTTCTTGTTCTTGTACATAACGTTACTGAAAAACAACTTTGACGGCAGCGGAAGCAGCAGCAGAATATAATGGGAAACGTTAGACTGCAGTAATTGGATGGAAAGTGACCTAAATTGGAAGTCAGCAGGGAGCATTTCTTACCTGCAACTGGGAGGGCTTTCATTTTGATATGCACCTAGATATAGAAACTAGGACAGAGCTTGAAATACCCCTTTTCTGCATACCTGCACTGGTACAGGTGAAATTGAAAAATTACCTGCACCTGTGTTGACAAGGAAGTATTGATGAGAAAGTATTTTATTTTCCAAAAGCTGGTATAATGATGAGGAACATAACAATTAATGTTAATAGTTGGCAAAACTGTCATAAAAAAAAACAATCACCTAAAATTGTCAATTTTTAGCATTAGCAAGAGTTATTCAGTTTTCTAACATTCCAGCCATTGCACCTGACATCACAAAGTGGTTTACTACCTTTAAGAATTTGTCTGCCAATTGTAGGTTTTCAAATTTGTAACATTGTGTCTGTGTTATATAGCCCACGTGGTGCCCAGTGACATTAGGGAGCGGGCGGAAACTACAGAGGATGGTACCCAGGCTACGTGCTATAATATTAGCTGACAATCAGACAAGGCTGTTCCGTGATAACATCCAGGATCTGTAAATGTGTTGTTTGTTTTCCAAGGCTTCAGGGTTGTTTTGTCGACAGTTACGTGATTGTGTTCAGTACACTGATTAAAGCTTGACAGCTTGTAATATTTTACCCGTGTCAGCCTACTGTCAGGGCTCAAAAATAGTTCTGCACATGCAGGATAGTACAGCTGTGCAGATATTTCTGATGTCTACCTGCACCTAACCTATACTGGTCAATGTAATGGGTATATTTAGGTCAGTGCAGGTAAAATTGGAGCTGTGCAGGTATTTCTATTAAGTCTACCTGCACCTAACCTGCACTGGTCCATGTACTTGGTGTATTTAGGTCAGTGCAGGTAAAATTGGAGCTGTGCAGGTATTTCTGATGTCTACCTGCACCTAACCTGCACTGGTCCATGTACTGGGTATTTTCATGTCAGTGCAGGTAAAATTGGAGCTGTGCAGGTATTTCTGATGTCTACCTGCACCTAACCTGCACTGGTCCATGTACTGGGTATATTCAGGTCAGTGCAGGTAAAATTGGAGCTGTGCAGGTATTTCTATAGTCTACCTGCACCTAACCTGCACTGGTCCATGTACTGGGTATATGCAGGTTAATGTGCACAGGTAAAGTTGGAGCTATACTGTTACAGGTACATCTGATGTCTACAATGTACCTGCACCTAACCTACACTGGGCAATTGCAATGTACTGGGTTTATATGTAGGTGTATATGGATTTTTATTTGCTCAATTGACTGTTACCACCTGTTAAGTATAAAAGAAATTAAAGAGAATGGATTCTGAACAGTTTTAGCATGATCAATACTTAAAAGAGGTGCAGGTAAAATTTGTCTCAGGTGCAGGTAATTTTCAATGTTACTTGCTCCAGTGCAGGTATGCACTAAAAAAAAAATTGTATTTCGAGCCCAGTATACGTGTATCAGTACCCAAGGACAACAGCCTGAACTAAGTAGCTTTTTATTTATTGTGAAATGCATTCACTGCATTTTTTTTTGAAATTCAAAACAGCTTCTGATGTAGTTGGTCAACAGTACATATGATTGTGGAGGCCGCTGACTCAAGCATGTGTAACATACATATGTATATCAGTATCCAAGGATGCAAGGCATAGCTTTCACTGTGACATGAATTTTCATGAAATTTGAGAGAGCTGATTTGGAAGTCAAATTTGTTGGCTTTACCTACTGCCGTGTGACAGTGACATTATCGAATCTAGTTTATCATCGTAGATTATTTGCTGTAATTTCAGCTATTCTATTTCTCCATATTAGTTTTTATCATATCTTTATTATTAGGTATGTGGGGTGAATACCGCCATTTGTATTTATCTGTTGTGGCTTGAGATGGAGAAGGTGTAATTGCATGCGAATAGCTCAAAGATAATTGTTCTATTTATATTGTATCAGTATATTGCCTTTGAGACATGTATAGTACAGCAGTGCCAAAAACTGTGTATTGGCGTCAGACATTGCTAACACTGTTTAGTTTTACCCCTTATCAGAAATTAATGTTGGAATTGATTGTCGATGAGTGAGTGGGTATACTTTTGTAGTAGTTAGTAAGTACTAGGTGAGAATTGTGAGAACTACATGCTGAAAACTCCTGAGTGTACATTGTTTGAATGTGTACTTGCAAGGTTTTTTAAAAATCATTGTATCATCGATGGTAAAATCCTAATTGTCTACAGCCCAACAGCTTATTATATAAATTATTTGGCTGAACAGTCCTATACGAGAGTGACAGTCTATGCCATATCAATAGTCTAAGAATATTTTTCAAGTAAAACAGTCTTAGAATATGAACATAAAGCAACTTGCCAAGCTATGAAGAAACGTCCCTTTAGGTAGTTTGTCTTTGAGCCATAATCAACAAGAATGGACAAGTGAATTATAGATTCTGAAGCCTTGTCGGGTAAAGAGGGCAGATGTGCCTTAAGCAACAATTTAGGAAAATATAACTGGAACGATGAAAGGAGGTGACCGCATCTTTCCTGAAGCAATTTTACCAGCAATAAGGCCATGTTGATTTGATTATATGGATGACATCCTCTGGGAACCCCAAAACTGATGCGAGCGTGCGAATAAAAAAAAAGTTTTCCAAAAAAAAAAGTTGCTTTCATTATGAAATCTACGTGGTCATGAAGGTTGAACAAAGGGCACAGAGTATCGTTCTACTCTTCAAATTCATTTCTTTACATTTTCGTCTTTTTCGTTTGATTTTGGCATTCTACGACATTGGTATCGTTTTCAAATATTTTTTTTGCAACTTACGGTATAAATTTGTTCATTTTGCAACTGTTTTGTATGATTTACAGTATGGTTGAAAACTTTTTTTT